GGGGAGCAATTATTGGCGGCTCAAGGTTGAAGACGAATGGCGAAACTGAAACAAGTCGATGCAAATAATTTTTCTTCCCTTTCTCTGGAGAGAATAGGGCTTTCTCGGTCGTTCGAATACCGTAATTTCGCCGGTTTTTCACCTGGTGTATTGTTGGGCTTTAATACCCGTTGCGTATTTCACTGTCTCTTTTCTGTCCCAAGAAGGCGATTTGCTTTGCGATTGTCATGGATTCAGCGGAGATTGAAAAATTATGTGAACGGTTGGTTAATCCTCGATCTTGATGGGTCGGGAGCCAAGGGTTTCGGTAGCTGCGGGGGTTTTGGAGGAGGGAACGAAAATTTTGAGCTTCAGTTTAGTGGGTAAAGTGATGGGCTGCAAACATATCAACAAAATATTTGAACCCTATTCAAATATTTTGTTCTTATTTCATGAATTGCAATTGACCACTGCTTTTACATGTTTGATTATATTGTTCATAATTCGAGAGATGAGTTCAATATTAGATCTTGAATATTTGACACAATTTATTTGCTTGAATCGAGAGGTTAGTAGATAGTTGTGAGGATTTTGGGTCTTTTAATCTTTTTGGAGTTGAATTGCATGTGTTGAGTGGAGACGCTAATATATGTGATTTAATCTACGGTTTTATCGATCTCGAGAGGGACGATAAACTAAATTTGTGATCATCTTATAGGGTAGATAAAGAAAACATTTAGTTGTGATATTTTTGAAAGAACACAACTGTTAATTGAACCTATAGTCTTAGAATCTCTCATTCCCATATATTTTCCTACGTGTTTTTCTAGCTAGTTCCTTATTTTTGTTTTATCTGCTTTGATTTATTTTCTTAGTGTAGTTAATTCATCCTATATTCGATCGTCTAAATAAAATTGACACTATCATAATCTTGTACTTGATTAAATAATTATTTGGTCTCTTGGGATAAGACCTTGCTTGCCACATACTACGAGCGAAGCCGTACACTTGCGGTAGAGCTTTAAAAATATAGGCGAACAAGTTTTTGCTCGTTTCTTCTATTTTTCTCATCCGTGCATCAATCTATCATCATCCCGGGAGTCTTAGACACTCACCATGCTCCTCCAATAGCCAAAACTCTACAAATATGTGGAAATATCTACAAAACACGCACGTGTAATACCTTTCCAACAAATATAGAATTAAAGCACAATATGCAATTTATACACCAATAATGCAACAAATAAGCTCTAGATCCTATATGAATATGGTGTAAAATCACAAATGAACAGAGACCCGCGAAACCGCACATCTTGCGCCACACATCCTATGAACTCGCTGCGAAAGGTGTTTGGCGAGCTGCGAAATGGCGAGCTGCGCCCCATATCTCCACACTCGCAGCGAACTCCATTTGGCGAGCTGCGAAATGCACTTTTCAGTTGATTTTTCACTCACACTCGCTGCGAATCCAGTTTCGAGACCTGCGAACTTCATGATTTCATTAAATGTGTGTGTTATTAGTGTGTGTTTGTGGTGTAGCTATAAATAGACATTGTGCTTTGTATTTTTTGAGACAACTCTCATTTCCCAACTTTTAAGTTGGGAAAATTCTCTCTATTTCTCTTTTTTCCTTTTTATGCTTCGGTTAGGAGCTCTATTACTCATATTTTCCGGCAAGTTTCCGGCGACATCATTTTATTTCAAGTTTCGAACTTTTCCATCCGGTGTTCTTCACGTATGCATTAGGAGAGTGGGTAATTAACTTTAATCCTCATTACTTCGAATTTGCTCTCTTTTGCTTATGATGTGTTTCAAGGTGAATGTGATTTTGCTTGTTGATTGGAGGATTGTACGATTCTTGTAGCTCGTCGACGTGTGTTAGGGATTAGTTTGTGCTTATCTTGTTTAAAAGTTGCGACTTTGTTTTAAAGTGTAGTCATTTAGTAGAAAGCTCGATTTAATCACCTAGGATCACTTGGCAATGTTGATGTCCCTCGGTTCTTTTTGTGTTTATTCGAGTGATAGAGACCCCGGTTGACCTAAAGCTATCATCTTTGTTTTTAAGTTTTCATTTGCTTTTAATTTCCTATTGCAAGTAGTGTTCAATTCAAACCCCCCAATTTGCCAGTAGAATGTTTAGGACCTTTTTGGTTGTGTGACTTTGACGACTAGGTAGTAAACGAAGCTCCGAAGAGCCTTCCTTTGAGAACGACCCGAGTCGAGTAGCTCGGTTACCACATGCCCAAAAATACTACAAACAAAATGGCGTCGTTGCCGGGGAAGGCGAGTAGGATGCCAAGTTTGCTATCTAGTTGTCGTTTGTTTCCGTGTTTCTTTTGCTTTTTGTGAATTTTGCTTGTTTTTGCGTGTTTCTCTTGATTATTTGCTTATTTTCCATTTCTCTTGCTTTTGCTTTGTGTGTTCGTGTACATATCATGTCGTGTTAGTTTCGTTTGTGCTTTTTTTTTCTTTGCCTCGTGTGCCTTGGTTGTTTTGTTTTTCTCGTGCGAGGTATTTCGCTTGAGGAGCTCCGATGGACTAGTACGGATATTCTTATGCCGGTAGCTTATCTAGTGGATACCCCGACAACTATCATGAGGAGATATACTCGTATGGAGGGTCGCCCTATCCATATCCGAGCTCTTTTTACCCGTCATCGCAAGTTGATTTTGGTTATTACGCTCCGGGTCACGACGAGACGCCTCACTATTATCCGCCACCTCTCGTTTATTATGAAGAGACACCTCCACCCGAGACAACTCGAGAGGCTTCTCGAGTCAATCTAGCCGAGATCATGGAGCATTTAGAAGAGTACAATCGATCCCTTCGCGCTTCCATGGCTCCCATATCCGAGAAAGAAGAAACCGAGTCTCTTGCTACACCCTCTCTACTATTGGAACACCTATCGGTTGGCCAACCTTGTACCTCGAGTTCCGGAGCTTCATTTCTAACCATGGTTGCGCCTTCCGAACGTCACCAAGAGGTTTTGACGAGCACTCAAGAGGCCCTTGGGAGCCTCATGTCGATCGTTGAGGAATTTCATAGTTGGAGTTGTATACCTATTCCATCCGTTCTTCAACTCACACTCACGAAGTTCGACTCTACCGTGGTCTCTCTCCTTGATTTGGACGCACCTCACATTCCGCTCGGTAGATATTGTTCTCTATCGACGAAGATTATTCGAGAGAGCACCCGGTTAGAAGGCGAGTTTCGAGCTATGGTGGATAGGTTTGCCTCCTTGAAAGAGGTGGGTCTCACTCTCGTTTATAATGGAACACAATCTATCGACACGAGTGAGGACATTGACGATTTGATTGTCAAAGAAGTTCCCTCTCTCGACGATTCGGCCGTGCAATCCACGTTAGGTACGTTGTTCGACTCATCTAATACTTGGATAAGCCAGCCGAGGGACATTGTTCGGCACATTACGGATTTTTTCTCTCAGCTTTTTTCTTTTGGTCATCCTTCACAGGCAAACATCATGAGATAGTTGACATGATGGAAGGAGCAATTTCTGAGGGTGATAGTACTTTTCTGGAAAGCCCATTCACTGAAGACGAGATCGAGAACGCTCTAAAAAATATAGGCCTTTTTTAAAGCTCCTGGACGTGATGGTTTTCATGCTTTTTTCTTTCAGAAACACTGGACTCTTTTGAAGAATGATGTGACACAGGTCCGTCTGGAGGTTCTCAATCATGGGAAATCAGTAAAGAGCATAAATGAAACAGTTATCGTCCTAATCCCGAAGAAGAAGAGTTCGAAGTGAATCACAGACTACCGGTCGATCAGTCTTTGTTCGGTTTTGTACAAAATCATTTCTAAAAAAATTGCTTCTCGGTTGAAGAAAGTCTTGAGATCCATTATCTCGGAAAATCAGAGCGCCTTTGTCCCCAGAAGGTTGATTACGGACAATGCGATCTTGGCTTATGAACTTTTACACTCTATGTCTAAGAAATATTCGGGTCGCACAGGGTGGATTTCGCTAAAACTTGATATGAGTAAGGCTTATGATCGAGTCGAGTGGGATTTTTTGCGAGCAGTTATGGACAAAAGAGGGTTTCCTAGCCGGTTCAGCAGGCTGATTCTTGAATGCATTTCCACGGTTTGTTTTACTTTCCATTAATGAGAGACACTGTGGCAAAGTAGTTCCAACCAGGGGACTTAGACAAGGGTGCTCTCTTTCGCCTTATTTGTTTCTTCTTTGCGCAGAAGGTTTTTCCTTCTTTACGACGGGCAGAACACCTGGGAAATTTGGTAGGGATGCGATGCAGCAGGCGAAGTTTGAGAATTTCGCACCTTCTTTTTGCAGACGATTCTATCATCTTTACAAAAGCCTCTACGTCGGACATGGGACATATTTTGAGCATTCTTGATCATTACAAAGCTGCCCCTGGACATTTGATAAATTTGGAAAAAACAGCCATCACTTTTTCTCCAAATATCTCAGCTCAGTTACAACAAGAAATTGGGACTCGATTGAGGATTCATGAGCTACAGGCTCATGATACTTATCTCGGTCTCCCGTCGGTGGTTGGACGTAATAAATCACGCACTTTCGCTAGCATTCGGGAGAAAATTTGGAAAAGACTTAAAAGCTGGGATTATCGCTTCTTCTCCTCAGCGGGCAAAGAAGGTCTTCTCAAATCTGTCATTCAAGCAATGCCGGTCTATTTCATGAGCTTATTTCGATTTCCCAATTCCATTTGCAAGCAGATTACAGGCCTCATGCGAAAGTTTTAGTGGGGATCCAAAGATGGAGCTGACAAAATATCTTGGGTAAAATGGAATTCTTTGTGCCAACCGAAACATAATGGAGGGCTTGGGTTTCGAGATGTGAAGATTTTCAATCGAGCAATATTGGCCAAACAAATTTGGAGACTTCTCATCTACCCAAATTCCCTTGTCGCAAAGGTTTTGAAATCAAAGTACTGGGAAAAATATTCTTGAAAAAGTTGCAAGGCCAGAGTCCTCTTTTCTATGGAAAAGTCTTCTGTGGGGACGAGACGTCATCAAAATGGGGGTTCGTTGGAGGGTCGGAGATGGTTCTAAAATCAAAATTTTTTCGGACCCGTGGATCCTTCGACATCATAATTTCCATACTTTTACTCCACGTTTATTGGGCGTCGAAAAGGTCCAGGATCTCATTGGCATTCATGGGAGGTGGAACGACGACTTAATTAATTTAGCTTTCCTCCCTATCGACGTGGCAAAAATTCTATCAATCCCTTTGACCTCTCCTGCCAAGACACATAAACTAATATGGAATTTTGAAAAAATGGCATTTACTCAGTTCGCAGTGGTTATCGATTTCTTCAAAATTCAACTTCTAATGATCCATCCTCGAGTACAAGTGGTCTAGCGTCTTGGTGGCGTTTGCTTTGGCGGTTACACCTTCCGCCAAAAGTAAAATCATTCTTGTGGCGTTTATCACACATGGCGCTCCCTTCAGCGGAAAACCTCCACCGTAGACATATTAATTCATTGTCACTTGTCCTAGATGTGGGTATTGGGAATCAAATAACCACGTTTTCTTCGATTGTTGGTGGGTGAAGAAGCTTTGGAAACGAAGTGGGTGGTGGAATGAGATTTCAAAATCACGGGGGCAACGTTTACGGATAGGGCTTGTGAGCATCTCAGAGGGCTGCAAGAAAGCGGATTTCAGGCTTTTTGTTATGTTTATTTGGCTTGTGTGGCAGGATAGAAATTTATTGTTGCAAGTAGGTCGTTTGAGCGATATTGACATTATGATAGATAAAGGTTTCAGATGGCTGGAGGACTACGATCATGCTCAAGCTTGTACTATTTTTGCTTCGGTTGGTAGCGTCATCAAGGATCATTGGGCCTGGAAGGGACGAAAAAGAAATGAAATGGTTGTTATCTTCAATGTGATGCAGCTGTACGAGACTTTGAAATTGGCTTGGGTGACAGGATAAAAAATTCAGAAGGCCTTGTAGTAGCGGTTTTTGCATCCCATATATCAGGTGCATTCTCTCCAACTTTGGCTGAGGCTTTATCTATTCAATTTTGGTTACGTTCCGCTTCTACGATGGGAGTGAAGGTCCAACAAGTCACAACAGATTGTCTTGAAGTAGTACAAGGGCTAATTGCGAATGATTCACATCACCCTTTTGAAGCTATTTTCTCGAACATCTTGGCGCTCTTGGATTATGTAGACTGTGGACTCTGTCAGCATACCAATCGCCTTCATAATACGATTGCTCATGCCATTGCTAAATGGGCGGTGGGATCCAAAACCACGATAATGTGGTCAGATTGTATTCCAATCTTTTTTTCTCCTCTGTTATGTAAGAACTTGATGGTGTAATAGGACTCTAAGCCTTTTTATTTAAAAAAAAAAAAAAAAGAATTAAGTCATTCATGGCTTTAATACACCAAAGTCCCGCCCCTCTAGGAATTAAATTTGTGCCTTTTTTTTTTTTTTTTTTCCTAAACCATAAATTATAGTAATAAATTTGCTCGTGTTCATAAGGTAAATAGTGGTATTTAAGTATGGTTTAAACCATAAATCTTGCAAGTGATGTTCATTTTAGATTAGGTTATTAAATATGAACTTCCTACATTCAAAATCTACACATTTTCTGCCTTTATATTGCATATCGTACATTATGTTATTCCAAGGCTTAGTTTTGTGGTACTGAAGCCTCTCTCCTTAAGTAGGAGTTGGGGGTTAGAATTTTTAAGTTGGAGTTAAAATCTCTTAAGTTAGGAGTTCGAATCTCTGAGTTCATGAATGGAGGCCAACTTGTAATGTCACGGACTCGCATTTGAAAAAAAAAAAAAAAAACAAGAAAAAGAAAAAATTGCTTCAACATGCCTGAGCCCGCTCATCATATATATAAGATAATCCATCGTCCTGAAATTTCTCTCTACAAATCCATGCGCATTGTATGCATTTTACTGCACTCTTATGACACCAACAATGCCGTGATAGTTATGTCAGTAGGCACCTAAATTAGGAGGGGTCAAGCTGCCTATAGCACTCTCTTCCTAACAGAAACACAACATGCAAATATAGCTTTGCTTCATCAGAAATTCACAATTTCATATACAACAAACAAAACGGAAAAAGACACGAGATGATCTCATAACCCAAAAAAAAAAGTAGAAGGAAAAATGGGCAGATTTACAACCTAAACCCAGAGCTGATTCAACCGGACCTTAAACTACATGTCACCATCTCTTTCTTCTAAATCCTAGAGATTAAGAATACAGGAGTGTCCAATGAAAACAAAAACGCTAAAAATGTAAAGAAAAAAAAAAAGAAAAGGGAAGAATGAAGTTATTCAAATATCAACAGAATCAGCCATGCTGTCCACCGATTCCACTCGTCTGTGTTCAGAAAACGAACTCCGATGTTCCAACTGTCCCATATTGATAATGACCTCATCAGCTCTAGGAGTCGTAGAGTCTTCCTTGTGAGGCCTCCTTTTATGTCTGTGCGAGAGAATTCTTGAGAGCACTTGAACAATGTCCCTCATTGATGGTCTTCTCCTTGGTAGTCGGTTTACGCACTTGTGTGCAAGAGCAGCGACCTCGTTAAATTCTTCAACGTTAAAGTTACCCTCAAGACGGGGGTCACATATTTCTTCCCATCCGACTTTACCATCTGTGTTCATAGCTGCCTGCCATGACAGAAGAATAAGATGATTAGATGAGTCACTTATTCATGTGGTTTGTTGAATAATTACAGAAGCCGGTTTTGGGTAATAACAGAAGAACCTGGGATTGCAAATTACAATGGAAACCTTTCAAGTTTTTTGTTCTTTCTTAAAGATATTATGGTATATTGAGGGTTAGATGGCTTACTAGCTCAACGTACTCCATAAGCCCTTGGAGAGGATTCCTTCCCGCAATAAGCTCAAACAGCAACACACCATAGCTGTAAACGTCACTCTTCTTCGTGAATGAACGTGTTGATATGTATTCAGGGTCGAGGTAGCCAAAAGTTCCACGAATATTGGAGACCTGCTTGCTGACCATCTCCTCCCTTGAAAGCCCAAAGTCAGCCACCTGCGGATAAATAGACTCGTCATCAGCGATCAACCAAACTTGCCTAGCTAATAGCTCAGTTGAATTCGTGGTTTCGTTATACTTTTGTTTTCACTAATACAATAGTTGATAATGAGGAGACATACCCGAGCTCTCATGGAATCATCCAATAAGATGTTGGATGATTTGATGTCACGGTGTACCACAGGAGGGACTGCCTGAAGTTAAAAAAAAAAAAAAGGGAATATAAATACTGAATCTTAAATCAACTGCAAATCGAAGAATAATGCCCCCAAGAGATTTTGTGCATTGGAACAGAACAATTCAACTTACACCATCATGAAGGTACTCCAAGCCCCTGGCGACATCGAGCACGATTTGGATCCTTAATTCCCAATTCAGTGGTTCAAGTTTCTCATCTGAGGGATCGACCAGAAATGTAAGTGTATAGCACATGACCAAAGAAGGAAAAAATGGAAATGCCACACTCACAATTTCTCAACAACACGGTCACAAGTATGGATGGGGGTATATATATGGACTTGCAATTCCTAATGCTCAACTTGACAACCATGAGATTATGAAATGGGGTATAAACCAGATATTCAAGTGACGCAGGTGTGACAGTAAGAGTAAAAGTAAAAGCAAACAACAGGCTATATGAGCACCAAAACTGTATGTTAAACCTGTTTAACGTTTATCTATATTAGCATTTGTTTGGTATAGGAATTGCAGTTAGCTGAAGCACTAAGGCCATCAGTGGGTGCATTCTTTTCATTATAACGCAAAAGTTTTGGATGAAATGATACTAGAGAGATCAAAATAGTTGTAGCTACACCGTACCATAGGAATAAAATACATAATTTCAAAGATGGTAGATAGAAGTATAGAAGTAATTTATAATAATCTGTCACTATACCTAGACATCTAAACATATTACATATACATCATGCAGCACACAAAATTGATCTCAGTGCAAGTTCAAGTCAAAGTGCCGTTTGAATTCTTCCACTAGTACTAGTACTAAAACTTTTATGGACTAAATTTTCTAATAAAATAGACTGTCATCGACTCTCACAAGGGGGATCAAAGTGGTATATGAAGTTCCTGGTGCAATTAAGTTTAGTTGTTCAACTGATACAAAGCCAGAAACGGATAGGGTTGGCAGGATGCACGAACAAGCACTCAGGGTTTATTAGAAGTAAATTTCAGCACTTACATGAATATGTGATGATCATTTTACATTCTTAGTTACAAATTAACTAATAAATTTCTTCTATGAAGATCAATAGTACAGGCATGGGGAACTTACTATATAGATGAGAAGCTAAGCTTCCTCTACTCATGTACACGTAAATAAGAATATGCTGGTGCTTCTCTGCACAATATCCAACCAAATTCACAAGGTGTCTGTGATGTAACCTTCCAAGTAACATAACCTGCATAAATCACATACAAAAGTAAGTAATGTCGAATAGAGCAAGTTACAGGCTAGTATGTTTCAATAGGATGTTCTCAATGATACATGTTGCTTCCCAAATTACCTACCTCGGTGTGGAACTCTCTCTCCCCTTGCTTAGAGTCTGTAGCAAGCACTTTAACAGCGACAGTCTCACCTGTTGACATCTGAGCTTTGTATACAGAACCATAAGCCCCTTGACCTATTAGTGTGGTAAAATTGTGAGTTGCTTTCTGCAGGTCCCTGCGTGTGTGCCAATCAATTTTATTTGAACAGAAGTGAGCAGTAAACAAATCACTTCATGTGCTTTTTGTTGCTGAATCACATAAAAAAAGATCATACATGTAGATAGTATCAAGTGTCACAAACAATCAACCTATATAAACCAAACGGAAGCACATTTCTCTTGTATGTCGCTGAACATTTATGTTCAAGCATACGCAATGTTTCAAACTTCAAATCAAACCAAATATAAACCATAGTGAAGCACATTTCTCTTAAATGCCACTCAACATTTATTTTCACGCATAGTTAATGGTTCAAAACTTCAATTTTCAACAGAAGTTGCAAATATTTATGATAAATCTCAAATTACATAACTGTAGGGGTACTCGAGTATAAAGACAAGCTCATTACAAGAGAATACGTACTTGTAGGGGTACTCGAGTATCCCAGATGCAGAAATCACATTCGCCTTCTTAGATCCCTTGCGCCAGAAAGAGAAGCCCTTATGTACGCTCGACCTCGGCGAATCGGTCCCGATCGACGAGTCCGACAACACCGAGCAGGAATCGACTCCATTTGCACGAATAGGGATGGTTGCTGCCCTTCTTGAACTGCTATTTCCTATCTGGGAACGCAAATGCTTCCTATGATATCTAAAGCAGAAAAATGCAACTATAGCCAAAGTTACTCCAATCACAACTCCAACCGAGATCCCAACTATCAAACCGGATGACTCTTCTCTCATCCCTATGCGTGCAAATTCACTGTATATTATCTATGAAACAAATCATCCATTCATAGAACCTGCAGGAATGAAGTTAACAACTCACTAGGTCAACAGTTTCATAGGATACGGCAGGGACAACACATCTAGCCACATCGAACTGAAAAAAAAAAAAAAACAAAAAGGGAAACGAAAACGAAAGTAACAACATCGTGGTTTAAGATTCCAAGTACCTTCCGATACAGAGGATTGCTCACGAAAAGAACTTTTATCAAACACAACCGCCAAAGGATCGTGATAGACTCTGCAATTTTACTTGTAATTCTTTGAAAAATTCAACAATCCACGCGCAAAGGCTTTTCAGCAAAGGACGGCACAAAGTAGACCAACAGTAGTTTCCAATTGCTGTAGTCAAACGAACTTTCTATCGAGTAGCCAAAACGTAAGAAATCAAACTCCTCCGAACATACTATTTTCCCACAGCAAAAAAAAAAAAGAAAAAAAAAACAGCGACACAAGACAACACCACCACCACCACCAATCAGCTCAAGCAGCAGCATGAGATCTCGAGCACCAAAAACAGCAGAATAAAGTAAAAGATGCTAAAAAAGCGGCAATAAAATTTGAAAAAAAAAAGGAATGAAAAAGTAAAGCTACAGTTGCAGATTTGTTCCATGGTTTACCTTTCTTCTTCCTTGGTGCAGAAACAAAATCTGGAAATAGCAGTTGATGAGCTTCCGCTGAAGCCGGCGATAGAAAATGAAATGTGTGAGGAAAAAGGAAAGAATAAAACAAGGAGACTGAGTGTGGATGTGAAGTTACACAGATACTATTGCCCTGTTTGGATTCGTCGGAATTTTTTTTCGATATATCGATGGCCGTGGCTTTGGGTACAACTTACAAGAGACCAAAATAAAATATAAAAATGAAAGGCAACTGGCCAAAAATAATAAGTTATGATGCAGCATAACATGAGCACTACTTTTGCTTTTCAAGGAAAAATTTGAAAAAAATTGAAATTTGGTTTTTGACGTAGGGGCGTGGGCTACGAGTCTATGACTATGATTTTGCCGCTCGTGATACTATAAGTGATATAGGGAGATGTTATGGTCTCATTACGAAACTATTTCGTCTAGGTTTGTAACGTTAGATCAACTATTCTTGATGATTAGTCTAACGGTTACAAACATCGACGAAACGGTCTCGTAATAAGACCGCAACATTTCCCAGAGTGATATATGGTGTGGGGGCGTTATTGCTATAGTTTTTTTTTACTATTGGGATCGATGGAGGCACTTGCCTTTGGAATTGTACGGTGTGGGGGCGTTATTGCTATAGTTTTTTTTACTATTGGGATCGATGGAGGCACTTGCCTTTGGAATTGTACTTATCCATCATGTTAATGCACATGGGATAGTATTATTATGGTGGTGATGATTTGAGTTTTTAAGCACATATTTTAGAATGAGAGATGGCGATTCAAAAATAGACTCCATGTATGTAGCCTACTTTACATAATTTTTTGAAAATAAATGAAAGTGTAAGAAAAAATTGGTTTTGTACTTATTTTAGTTTCATATTTTTTGCAAGTGAAAGCTTTAGAAAACTTAAAATAAAACTGGGATGCTAGAGTTCTAACATCTATATATATATATATATATAATTGCTAGCTAATCATTAAATAAAACCTCATAAATAAAACCTAATCAATAAAACCTCATTTATTTTCCCTCCAAAAGAAGTTAAAAAATTTGTATTCATGTTTTGCCTTTCACATTAATACACTCTATTAAGTGTAATCATGTAAAAAAATTATAATGAGTTAATTGCAAAAAAAAAAACCCAACCTTTTACTCAATTGCAAAAAAAAAAAAACTCCACCTTTCCAAATTTGTAGATAAAATCATAACCTTTTATTATTTTTTGCAATTGTGTCTCGAGCTCATTTACCGGCCAGATGTGCTGACATGGACAATCGGAATTATGTGTTGGCTGTCGGATTATTATGATGTGGCACTCAACATTTTAATTTGAGTCCACATCAGCTACACATAGGATACCAATTATTTTTGAGGAAAAAAAATCGAATTAGGGTCTCGATTTCACATCTGAAATTATTTCACTTCATCTTCAACCCTGAGAGCTCGAATCGCGTTGAAGAAGAACAAAAACACAGTTCCCATATTTTTGAAGAACATCAAATCGCCCAAGCAAAATCGCGATCTTCAGTTTCATTCGCCGAATTCCAAACTTTACATTTTCGATTCGCCTCGCTCGTAACATCTCACAGGTAAGGTTCTGCGATTTTTCGGCTCAAAGCTCGGATTTGTTTTTTCATTTCTGCGATTTTTGGCTGAAGCTCGGATTTTTTCCAGTAATGTTCTGCGATTTTCCGCTCAAGCTCGTAACATCAAAAACCCTAAAATTTTGATTCAAATCCCAAACCCTAAACAGACGAGGGTTTTCTCACCATTTGTGCGGATTAATGTTCTTGTTCTTGTTCTTGTTCGATGGGTTTGGGATTAATGTTCTTGTTCTTTAGCAAAGTGAAACAGCAGATTTTTATTATCTTGAAGAAACGCTCGGTCGACCGATTTTTTTTTTCTCATAAGTAATTTCTGATATGAAAAATCAAGTGTATCTATGTGTTGCTGACGTGGACTCGAGTTAATATGTTGAGTGCCACATCAGATTAATCCGGCGCCAACACATTCTTCCGACGATCCATGTCAGCTGATGTTACCGGAAACAAATATTGAGACACAATTGCAACCAATAATAAAGGTTATGATTTTATCTACATTTTTAAAAAGCTTGAGTTTTTTTTGCAATTGAGTAAAAGCTTAGGGTTTTTATGGCAATTAACTCAATTATAATTGCAAAAAAATAGCATTAACTACTACTACTACTATAATAATAATAATAATAATAATAATAATAATAATAATAATAATAATAATAATAATAATAATAATATCATCTTGAAACAATAAAATTGTTTATACTTATGTAATTTATATTTAGTGTGAAATATTATGAGTTGGTAATAGCATTAACTATTATATAATATAATAGCAAAACAATACATGATTACACTTAATAGGGTGTATTAATGTGAAAGACAAAATATGAATGACAAATTTTGTAACTTCTTTTAGAGGGAAAATAAATGAGGTTTTATTAATTAGGTTTTATAAATACATGATTACACTTAATTAGGTTTTATGAATGATATTATTATTATTATTATTATTATTATTATCATTATTATTATTATTATTTTGATTTTGTATTTCATGTAACAATTTTCTTTACAAACAATTAGTAAATAGTTTTAATAGTATAGTAAAAAAACTTTAAAATCTTATAAACAATTGTCGTTGTAATAAGAATAGTAATAATAATAATAATAATTATTATTATTATTATTATTATTATTATTATTATTATTATTATAAAGTTTTCAAGTAAATTATTTGACCATGATCCCTCCAAATTATAAAAATTACATTACCCACAATTTTTTTTAATCAATATAGTGATTCATATGTTCTCAAATAATTTACATAAATATTATTTTATTTTTACTAATGATTAAATCTTGAAAATGTGGTATGTCTCTAGAATTTTAATATTAAATTCACATATCTTGAAAATGTGATATGTTTATTATCTAGAATATTAATATTAAATTCATATATTTTGAAAATGTGATATGTTTATCATCTATAATTTTAATATTAAATTTACGCATGTTACTTATAATATTTTATGTACATCTGTGCATGTGCACAGGATAATAACTAGTGTGCATAAAGAAGCGAATTTCGCTGCTGATCATATGGCGAGCTTGACGGCCTCCTATTCGCCTGGCCTGCATCGAGTTTCGTCACCGTCTCTAGGGTGAGGAGCATGGTTGGAGCATGATAACATTGGGTGTCATATCCCCGACAAGTTATAACATAGGCCTTCGGCCTCCTCCTTTACACCGAAAAAAAAATTATTTTAAGTTGAATGAGAAATTAATTCTAAATTACATAAAGTTAAAATAGTTGAGTAAGTGAAATCAAATATTATTGGATTCACAAAACATGATGTCTTTGACGATGTTAGTATAATCCAAACAAGACCTGATCATGTAGTTTCACAAATAAAATGTACGTGATTTGTGAAATAATGAATTTGTGTTGACTTATACATTTTTGTTAAATCCTATGTCAATTTTATATTTGTTGTACATGGAGCCTTTTTTTGTTTTGGCATATACACCCGGTTTTATTTATTTTTATTAATATTATTACTTAGTAAATAATGGTCATGGACTTCCCCATACAAATTTATTTATTAAGGCTGCTATTAGAAGTTGAAATATTATAATATTAAAATTAATATAAACAAAGTATGATAGTTTATAAAATAAGACAATATTTTTTTCTTTAAAATATCACAAAACAATCTACATAATAATTAGACAGAATGATACAAGAATTTGTGTTTGTAATAAACCAGTGTTGGGTTTGATTTTATTTTATTTTTATTATCCATCTATTTATTTATCAAATTTGGACAACGTGTGTTATTTCAAAGTTGATACATTTCCATATATACTTGGCATTAGATTGTTTATGGTTAAATTAGGTCTGAAATATTGCATTAGCTGAAGGCACGTAATCAACTGTTAACCTAATCCAGCTTAGTTCATCGACCCGATAACATCTTAAGATTAAGACAAAGTATCCGACTCTGAAAACACACAAATTAATTAATTAATTAATTAATTAGTCAAAATGTGCTCAGACGAAGAGTTGACTATTAGGAATATGAATTTTTAAAACAAGATAAAAATTGAAAAAATAAAAATAAAAAATAAAAATGAACCCATCAATGTCCTGATATTTAATTTAATAGTCTAAAAGACTATCATTTAAACCTACTTTTATTATTTGTAGTAATTGTATGAATGGAATAAACCTACCAACAAAAGAACAAGTCTTCTTATGAGTATATGTGTGAAGTCCCCATCAAAGTTTATAGGTGAAGCTTCACAATAAGAATTTAATGGTGAATTTACTTCAGTTTCTAAGGGAAGATGGTTATCTGTCACATTCTCTTTTGAAAAAAATAAAAATGGCTCAGAATAATAAGAAAAAAATTGTTGACTTTCCAAAGGAAGATGAATGAAATCAAAGAGAGGGATTGACCAAGTACTTAAAACACAATTCAATAAACATATTGGGTAGATTTCTAAAAGTCGGTAGGCGCCCGTCAGGCGCTCGACCAGCGCCTAGCGCCTAGACAGGACCCAGACATGTGGTCACTTGTTCGGGCTCCACCCAATATTTGACACCAACACAATACCTGAGGATAACAAAAAAAATCGAAAGCCATAGAGAAGGCAAATAATCGAGTAAAGATAAAAGAAGAAAGCTGGAGAAACAAACCGTTCTGATGGTAAGGGCTTCAAGCTTATCAGCATTATGAAGAAGAAATGAGATAAAACGACTGTTAGCATTCGATGTAACCTCTGTTAAATTACAGAAGGTTTTCAGTCAAAAACAGAGAATTAAAAGTGAGGAATCTGCGAGAAAAAAGCAAGCAACAAGATCTAAGAGGAACTTGCAACTAAAAAACGGATAAGAAAGGAAAACTGCACTGGCAGCAGGATTACACAAAGTCGCGCTTACATTTTCTCTCTTTTGTTCTGTTTAGGAAACCACTTTAGTAGTTCAAACGGTGTCGTATTGTACTTAGTTAAACGGCGTCGTTCTGTCTTCGTATTTCAAATTTGAATTGCGCGGCCCTATTAAATGTATGTGGGGATATCAGATTTTGGTTGAATGAATAAAAAATCAGATTTTAGATATTGTAGCCTGAGCTTCTACATGGTATCTAGAGCCAGTAAAATTCCTTCAGTTTTAGATCTACAATGGCGATGCGTAGAGGCCAGAGGGTGGTTCAATGAAGCCTAGTCGACACTCAGTACAAGAGGAGGTATAACAGCTGATAACCCTCAACATAATCCACTGTTTCTTCGATCATCCTAGGTTGCAGCTCGTCTCACATCCACTGAGTGGATTGAATTTTTTTGGCTTGGAAGAGATCAATGATGATAACTTTTGGTGCGAAGACGAAGCTTGGATTTATTGATGGATCGGTTGAGCCGCAACATGTTGGAGATCCAGAATATGAAAAATGGAGGGAGGTAGATTGGATGGTAATTTCGTGGATCCTGAACTCATTATTTTGTTGATGCATTTATATAAGCGGAATCTGCTAGAGAGCTGTGGAAAGAAATCCGTCAAAGATTTTGACAAAAATACGATCCTTTGATTTATCAGCTGCAACGAGAGATCTCGAACTTAAAACAAGGAAGTGACTCAATAATGGTGTATTTTAATAAATTGAAGAAGACTGGGGATGAGTATAGCTGCCCGGTACCACAATTTGTTTGCAAATGTGAAAATGGAAAAAGGATGGAGGAACAAAACTTGCAAATAGATTGATGCAAATTTTTATGCGATTTGATATGTAATACCATACTAGATCGTGTACGACCTAAAGAGCGGTCGGACCAGCTGGGTTGAATCGACAGGTCAGCCAGACAACGACGACAGACTTCGGCCATCATATCAACACGTACCGGCTCAGGTGTGAGTATGATCCAACGGCTCAAAACCCAGCGTGGACACTAAGGTCGAATTAGCCTTTCCATTTCAAGGCACTTTTATAACAGTGACATCATTGAGGTCATGGCTATAGATTTTCTTGGCTCGAACAATGAACATGTCGAGATAGACATTTCCCACAAAAAAATGAGGGATAAAAAAAATATTTCCTAATGAAAAATGACGATTCTCCACTGGCAATCACAGTTGCAGCCAAAAAAAAAATAAAAAAATAAAAAGTCGAAAACACATAAATAAATGAGTTATTTACGAGGACAAAAGGCAATATTTATGAAAGGACCCTCAGCCGTGGAGTGTTAGCATTACTTAGATCATGTCAAAAACCTAAGTCTTCATCTCTGATTCCAGAATCCAGATATTCGTGGAAGACAATCTCACACTTCTCAGATCCTCGATCAAATGATGAAATTCTCCTGATCGATTCTGCCAAGCAGTGTAGTTCCATCCTCTCGAGGACTTTAGCATTCTTCAAGAGATATCTAACCATGTCAAGTTCATGCTCTGTACCTTCCAATTCGTGAATTGTCACTATTTTAAGATGTGACGAAAGGCAATTAGGCACTTGGAGGGGAGCCGCCAACCAGCGCTTTCGATTATTATAACCCTGACAATGAAACGAAAAGGTAAGCATGAAAATGTGAACAAATATAAAATTCTGACAGGAGATGAATAAAAAGGAAATGTTTACCTTACTACGGATAGTAAGGACTTTAAGTTTATCAGCCTTATCTAGGAAATATGTGAGGAACCACCAATCAACTTGCAGTTCGAGTTTTATTAAATTGTGAAGCTTCATGATTGAATTAGCCATAGGCAACTGGACGGGTTCCATCTCGCATTCCGGTTCATGATAGTGTATGACCTGATGATTAAACAAAAAGAAAACAAATGCAGAAGAAGGCCGGGCCGTCAATCACATATAACCATACAAGTTGAAAATACCGAAAAAACAATCGAACTAACATTAAGGGCTTCAAGTTTGTTAGCCTTCTCCACGATATATGAGATGAAACGGCAATAACCTTCCACCCTGAGTTTGGTTAAATTGTGAAACTTTATGTTCAAACCGACAGGGGTCAAGTCACGAACCTGCAGGACACAAAAGCACAAGAAAAAAAGCAAAAAGAGATAGAGAAAGATAAGTTTATCTTCCCCCAACTGCGTAAAGTTCATATCTTTTACATTAGAGAACCTACCCAAAAATTCTAGCAGAGAATGAGAATAGAGATCGTCGTTCACAAATACCTTGATAAGCCCAACATCAATGTGCGCTTCAACTAAGAAGTCCATCGACCCAACCGAGAAATTATGGGGGATCTCATACCTTAGTAATAGATAATTAAGCGCAGGAGTATCTATCTTCAACTTGTAAGGGAACTCACAATTGAAGACCAACCTCTTCATAGTGGATGAAGATATGCAATGGGATACCACATTTGCGTCACATTGGATAAAGATATAGTACGCAGTGAACTCTTCGAGCACCGGACAACAGAAAAGCAGGTTGTCGAGGGTGCCATCAAGGGTAACGCCCCCAAGATATAGCCTCTTGAGGGCTGGTAAACACACGGTGCCAATCTTTATCTTGACAAAGAAAAGATTGAGCCTCAAATCAACTAGGGTTTTGGAGGTGCCATTATTCAATTTAATATCGAAAAGATTGAGCCTCAAATCAAAACGGGGGCCTTCGTCGAAAAGGCGAATAATCACAGAGCCATACCGCAAAGTAAGATCGAGAGTTTTCACGTTGCGCGCAAAGACGCTCTCGAGACGCGCCTCAAGTTCATGCTCGTCGAAGTAAAACATTTTGAGTCGAAGTGTGTTCATGCTGTGCGATTCAAATTGGGACAGAATCTTTGTCAACACGTCTACGAACTGTTCGTGATAGGGATTTGACTCCGGGATTGAATCTATAATAAAATTTAGCAGCTGGGATTCTTCGGTGAGTTGTATGTTAGGCGCATAGGTCCATAGACGCCTCCATCTTGCGGAGAGGGCGCCGGTGGAGACGGAGGTTTTGAAGGGCAGTAAAGAGAGGATGTGAGAGATGATATCGTCGGGCAAGGCGGTGAGCCTGTCGATTGAGGCCATAATTATTAGAAGATGAAAGGGGAATTGGCGAGTTAGGGATTTGTCGGGGAAGAAATTTTTCGCGGCTCAAGGTTGAAGACGGATGGCGAAAGTCCAAGTCATTGATGCAAAACTGGTTCGGGGGGACAATGCACGGAATAATATGTGAATAATAATTTTATTTAAATAATTTATAAAAATAAATTAGAATTAAATAAAATATATAACTTGAAAAATAAAATAAAATATATTTTAACTAATAAATTTACTTATTTGTTTCATAATTAATAGTTATTTATTAGTATATAAATAATTACAACAATAAATAGTAAATAAATAAAAAAATAAGTTGAATAATAAATAAAATAAAATTAGGTATATGCCTTCTAAATAAATAACATAGCGTAAAATGAAATAGTATGATATATTTAATTAAAATTAAATAATTTAAATTGATATAAAGAGACAACATATTTGAAAATAAAATAATTTGATAAATTACATTCAAATTACATATGATAAAATTATTTAAACAACAAAAATTAAGATGAACAAATACAAAGTACCAAAAAATTCATATTCTGACTTAAGGTAGGGGGTATTGGATCTAAAAAACAAAACAGAGGCGGCCTAACCAAAAGACACATTGACGCTCCCGCGTGCGGTCTCAACCTTCGCTATGCCTCTACTCCTCCGCACTTTTCACTTTGCCATGCCTCTACTCCTCCCTACTTTTCGCGACCCAACGAACAAAGCGAAGCGAAGTAAAAGTCACTGATTCGAATTAGTTATAATTGTTCATTAAACTTCTTGACTTTTGCATGATTTTTGACGCTTCTGATTCACGTTTCGCTTTGGCAAATAGCGCATGGGGCTACAGAATGGGTATTTTCTATCCATTGAGCAAACACAGATTCTAATTGTTTTCGTCTTCCCAAGCGCAGCTAAATGGTAGTCATGTCCACAAATAAAGAAAGGAAGAAAGATCGTCAACGCTTCCAACCCGAAGCTATATTTTTTTTATAGTTGAAAAGGGAGATTCATTAGCTCTACCAGGCCCCCTTGAAGGAAAAGCAGTATCAAAAAATCAAGTGCTACAATGAAATGTCTAACTATAATTTTCTTGGCTCAAACAATAAAAAAAAGTATAGATGTATGTTTCCTGTAATGAAATGGGAAGAAGACCATTTTGTAATGAAAAATGGCCATTTCCCAATGAACGGAGGAAAAAAAAGTATTGTCATATTTTTAAAATATAAAATCAAAGAATAAATACTCAAATGGTTAATTTCCAATTTTTCCAGTTTGATTCTGGATGGTTGTGCCATTTTATCTTATCTTTTGATCATAACATAATAGCAACAAGAAAAGGGTAATAGAACTACTCACAATAAGACACGCATGAATAAATGAGAGTGATATGCGAAGACCAAAGGCAACTATATTTATCAAAAGACCCTCTCAGCCGTGGAGAGTTGGCATGACGAGACGATACTTAGATCGTGTAAAAAACATAAGTCAGTCATCGTCCGAGTCCGATTCCAGATATTCGTTGAAGACAATCTCACATTTATCAGATCCTCGATCAAATGATGAAATTCTACCAATCGATTCTGCTAAGCAATGTAGTTCCATCCTCTCCAGGACTTTGGCATTCTTTAAGAGATATCTAACCATGTCGAGTTCATGCTCTGTACCATTCAATTCATGAATTTCTACTATTTTAAGATGTGATGAAAGGCAATTAGGCACTTGGAGGGGCGCCGCCAACCAGCGTTTTCGCTTCTGCTTAAAATAAACCTGAAAGTGAAACAGAAAGGTAAACAAATGCCACAAACCAGCTGGCCTTATCAATTGGAAAAAAAAAAAAAAAAAGGAAATGCTTACTTACATTGCGGATAATAAGGACTTTAAGTTTGTCAGCCTTCTCTAGGATATATGTTAGTAACCACCAATCGACTTGCAGTTCGAGTTTTATTAAATTGTGAAGCTTCATGATTGAAGTAGCCATAGGCAACTGGATGGGTTCCATCTCACAATTCGGTTCTAGACATTGTATGACCTGATGATGAAACAAAAAGAAAACAAATGTTAGAAAAAGGCTGGGCCATCAATCACATATAATCATACAAGTTGAAAATACGGACAGAACAATTGGACTAACATTAAGGACTTCAAACATGTTAGCCTTCTCCACGAAATATGAGATGAAACGCCAATCACCTTTCACCGTGAGTTTAGTTAAATTGTGAAACTTTATGTTCAAATCAACAGGGGTAAAGTCAGGTACCTGCGGGAAAACAAAGATTACAAAAAGAAAGAAAAACATAGAGGAAAAAGCAAAAGCAAAAGCAAAAGGAGATGGAGAAAAACAAGTTTTACCTTCCCCAAACTGCAAGGCCAAGCACATAAGGTCATTTTTTTAACATTAGAGAACCTACCCAAAAATTCTAGCAGAGAATGAGAATAAAGATCGTCTTTCACAATTCGCTCGACTCGATCAACAACAATGTGTGCTTCAATTAAGGAATCCATCGACCCAACCGAGAAATGATGGGGGATATCATACTGTAGTAATAGATAATTAAGCACAGGAGTGTCTATCTTCAACTTGTAACGGAAGTGAGAATCGAGGACCAACTTCTTCATAGTGGACGAAGATATGCAATGGGATTCCACATCTTCGTAACATCCGAAACCGGTGAACTCTTCAAGCACCGGACAACCGGAAATCAGGTTTTCGATCGAGCCGTGGAGCCTAACAGTTGTAACATGAAGCCTCTTGAGGGCTGGTAAACAAACGGTGACATTCTTCATCTTAATAAAGAAACGACTGAGCTTCAAATCAACTAAGGTTTGGGAGGCAAGCACACAAGGGGGCAAAAAACTATAGTCATACGTTTGAGTAATTTCGAGAGTTTTCATCTTGCACGCAACGGCACTCCCGAGAAACCTCTCAAGTTCCCAATCGAAGTAGATATCCCCAAGGATGCGAAGTGTGTTCAGGCCGTGCGCTTCACATTGTGGCAGAAAAATTCTCAGGACGTCTCTATGAGCGAAATTAACGATTTGTATGTTAGGGGCATAAGCCCATAGAAACCTCCATCTTGCGGCGAGGGTGCTGGTAGAGACGGAGGTTTTGATGGGGAGAAATGAAAGGATGTGAGAGATGATTTCGTCGGGCAAGTCGCTCAGCCTGTCGATCGAGGCCATGAGAGGAATTGGCGACTTAGGGTTTCTTTGAGGGGAGCAATTATTGGCGGCTCAAGGTTGAAGACGGATGCCGAAAGTGCCATGCCAAAAGAGATTTGTGCGGTTTTTTTTTTTTTTTTTTTTTTTTTTT